GCAACGCGTTCAACTTCCAGAATGACATGCAATTTGCAAATCCGATCATGTAGATTCCTAGAAATCCTGGGTGTTCACACTACATTCCCCTTTTCTTCACAAGGGCACTGCACGCAGTCGGCGGTGCTCCCGCTGATCTGCACATTGATGCCCCTAGAAGAGACCTCAGCATCTGGCTCAAAAGTGCTCAAAAACACTAACCCCAATGCCTGGAATGACTTTTTTGGGGAAACTTATCCCTAAACCCTAAATCGCGAGTGAGATCAGGTGTGGCCGCTATAATAATATTGCCAAACCATGCATAGGCTAGCTATCACAGTGAATTTTGAGGGACTTCCTGGGTTCAAGCACTGCGGTTAAGGGCTTCTACAGGTTTAGGGATTCGACATTTGGACGACATTGATTGCCAGGCGCTGGGCATCTGGAAACAACTTGCAGTTACTGCAAGTTTCATGACTTAGACATGTTGGCCTGGGCGGGCCATGGTGGTCATAGCAACCCTCGGAAGCCAGAATACTCAGAACAAGACGGAGAAGACGAGTACAAACCTCACCAGTCACTAGCCTCAGCCACTGAAGGACAAAACGACCAACAGCACCGCTCTGAACGCTGGTGATGACGCTGCGGATGATAATCTCTGGGAGCCGCCGCAATGCTGGTTGCAGCCTAAACCCTATTTGAACCCTAAACAGTCAACCTTAATCCCTAAACCTTTAACCCTAAACCCTATTAAAACACTAAGCCGTCAACCTTACACCCTAAACCTTTAACCCCAAACCCTATTTAAACCATAAACCGTCAACCTTAAACCCTAAACCTTGAACCCTAAGCCCCTAAAACCCTAAACCCCTACACCCAAAATCCCTAAACCCCTACACCTTAAACCCCTTAAACCCCTAGACTTTCGCATTTGACTCTCCTTGCGCTTTCACTAAGACTCTACGCAACTCCAAGCCTCCGAGATGGTCCGACTGCCTCCAAAGAGATATATAGGATATGGGTGGTTGTCAAAACTGTGGTCGCTTTTGGGGTCCCTGTTGTAATTTAGAGTTTAAGGGTGGGCATAGCCCAGCGTTCCGCGCGGATCCTTAGAAGCCCTCAGTCAGTTTCTTTTGAACTGGGCCCTTGTGCCAAAACAAGCAAGAATAGGCTGAGGCCGTGCGCCCAAACGCGGCCCACCAGGTTGTGATCCCTAGCAGGAGTGAATCCAATGGGTCTGGCCATAGGGGGTCTTGGTTTTCGGTTTAAGTTTAGGGCCAAGGGGAAGTGGTAGATCTGTGCAATTGCCCAACATAATCCATTGTAGCACCTATGTCCACTCCCCTTAAGCACTGGTAAGTTTAGATGCTGCCATCTCGTTGATTTCAGGGCCTCCGGTGCGCAGCAAAGCAGGAATGTCTAGTCATGTTGAAAAAAACCTTAAACCCTAAACCCTAATCCCTAAACCCTAATCCCCAAACCCTAATCCTTAAACCACAAACCCTAAACCCTAAACCGCGGGTCAAGGCGCGAAGAAGCTTTGGGACTGTATTCCAGGTCACTCGGAACTGTCTTGATCTCTCACTGGATATATTTCAAAGCCTAAAAATATTTGCGGAATTCAGGAATGCAAATCAACACTGGCCTCTATAGAGCCCTAAACCCCAGACCTTAAACCCTAAACCCTCATAATCCCCTCCCCCTAATAATA